TGTCATAATTGCTTCAGTTCTGACAGACCAGCACCAGTGAATTAATCACGCTAGAGAAAACCCAGGTTACAGGAGTGGAATAATGATGCAAAAAGGTTTAAAAATAATGTAATGGGTTTTGATCGATTAAAAGCCGCTCGTTATTCTCCCTCCGACACCTGTAGAAAGCTTGTTACTCAGACCAGCACAAAGCATTGCCCTGAACAGTCCATACTGAAAATAAAGGCCTCGTTTTCCATTCCCCACTTCACACATAATAGGAACAACAAAAATAGAAAGGAAGCCGCCTATGACAACGCGCTGGAAGAGAACTTGCTCTACAGGAGAATGTTTAACCAGACCTCTTACCCCCAAGCCCCGCTGCAGCAGTCTTCAACGTTGAGAAACAAATGGTTATTTTGACTGAAAAACAAAAACAAGCATCAACTGGCACAGGAGAGGGACAGCCAAGTCCTTGGAGGGTCAGATTTGTCAACAGGCTGAGGCTCCAGGATTCGAGCCAAATATTATAGCATGCTGCAGAGGGCAATATGCTTTAGTAGTGTCAGCGCAGCCCTGAGCAAACACCCTCGCGTTCGCGGGGTCTGGCGCAGGGGATGTGGGTGCAGCAGTGGAGATGGATGAAGGCACGCGGGTGGTGCAGGGCACCACCAGGCACCATGTGCCACCTCAAGCCAACGGCACTGGCATCTCACTGTCACCCATGATAAAATCCCCCTGAAGAGGAGGAAGGATGAGGAGCAGCTGTCACATCACGCAACGGGAGGGTGACAAAGTCTAAAGGTTCGCACAGTACTGACCTGTCCCTGACAAAGTGACGGTCTAAAAGTGTAATGCCAGAGCGCCACAACGTACCCGGGATGCGCCGGGAGGGTTTCCAGCGGCCCAAGCAGCTGTGCTCGCTCTCAGCCCCTATTGCGCAACGGGAAAGGGGGACTCTGCCTCAGCCGGCGAAGCACAGACCACGTCCCTGGCCACGAGTCCGTGCCCGCAGGCGGACACTAGGGCTAGCCCGAGGCTCAGAGCCCAAAATGACCTGGCAGCAAAAGCGATGCAGCAAGAGCGCATGGGCAGGCAGAGACGTGGGGGCCGACCAGAAAGGAGTCGCGAGGAGGGGGCACGAGCGGGTGGGCAGGCCAAACCCACGCCAACGGTCAGGGGAGAAGAAGGGCGAGACCGACGCCCGAGTGCGGCGTGCCCCCATCCTAGGTCCGGTCCAACACCCCGAGACGCGGCTCTCGCGGCCCCCAGGACGCGCCGGCGCGGCAGAGGTGCCACGACCGCAGGGTCCCACAGCGCCGCGACTGACCGGAGCCCGGTGCGTCCTGGGGGCCGCGCTGGCCTGAGAGC